TACCTATTTCTTTCTGTCTATGTTGCTTTCATCATCTACTTCTCCTTTGCTAAGTAGATGCTCCTTGCCAGTGGTTTCTCAATTTTATTACTCATTTCAAAGAACCAACTACTGTTTTTTTTCCTATTTCATTTATTTTTTCTTCAAGCTTTATTATTTCTTTTCTCCTAGTGAGTTAGGCTTGTTTGGTGCGCTTTTTCTAGTTCTCAGAGATGTTAGCATGAATGTGTTGATTTTAAGTCTCATTTCTGATATTTTTGTTTACTGCTATAAATTGGTCTGCGTTGATTGACTCTGAGAGGTTTTTGTATGATGAGATTCATCCTTATTTGATTCCATGATAAATTTTTTTTCATGTTTTATTTCTTCTATTACCTGGTGCTTTTATTGTTAATTTTTATGTATTTGGTTTCCCCCTTGATCTTCCTATTTTTTAATTTAGAATTCTATAGCACTGTAGATCTGAGAAGATACTATCTGGTGTTCTAATGTTTTTAAATTTAAAGAGATTTGCCTTCTGATCTAATATATGGTCTATTCTGGAGAATGTTCTAAATATACTGAAAAAGAATGTATATTGTTTATTTTTTGTGTAGAGTGTGGTGTGTGTGTGTGTGTTTTCTTCTATGTATTTGTTGTTTCACTCTAATAAGTTTGTCCTACAGTGAAAGTGGTGTATTAAAATCTCCCATTATTATTGTATTGTTGTCTATTTCTCTCTTCAATTCAGGTAAGATTTTCATTAATGTATTTTGATGCTCTTTCATTGACTAATATTTATTATGGGTATGTCCTCTTGCTCAATTGACTAAACCTTATTATATAATATTCTTCATGTGTCTTATGTATGATTTTGCCTAAAAATAGTTTCTTCTCAGAAATTAATCTTGCTACTTTTTCTTTTCTGATTGCAATTAATTTGACTTTTTTTTTCTAGAGTCTCAATTTTAGTCTATTTTAAATTGTTGTACCTGTGGTATTTCTCTTCTAGAAAGCATATGGATGGACTCTCTTTACTTTCTGTTTCTGCTATCCTTTGTCTTTTGACTGGTCATTTAGTACATTTATATTCATTGCAATAAATACATATTTCTTGTTATTTTACTGTGTTTGTGTTTTGGGGTGATGCACAGTTTATTTCATACAATTGTTTGTGCTGATAACATTTTATTTATGAATTTTCTTGTAATTTTCTTCATAGCATTATTTTAGTGTTTATTAAGTCTTCATTATTTTTGTCTTTATTATTTTTATGAAAAAGTTTATTAATTTTCTTTAGGATAATAGTGTAATTCCTTAATAGCTTTCAAAGTTTAAAATAACCAGTTTGTTCTTTCTTATAATTCATGTTATTTACTCTCCATTTGGAAGTTTTATATTTCTTCTGTTTACTTTATAATTGTCTTCATTTACAATTTAATAACCATTGCTCCTCATTTTCAATCTTTAGGTTTGTTTTATTTTGAATACTTCCATTTCTACATTGACTTGTGGGTGATGTTATCATGTATAATAATATTACTGTGTTGTCTGTCTTTTAAAAAATTTTCTATCTGAAGAACTGTTTAAAAGTGGATTTTGGCTGGATTTTATAAATCTATTTAATTTCTGTTTATGTGGAATTGTCCTAACTTTACCCTTGTAGATGAGGGGCAATTTTGCTGGATATAATTCTTTGTTGATACAGATATGCATATATATATATATATTTTTTCCTTTAAATATATACATATACATTTTTAATATGGGATCATATTGCCTTCTTTCCTGCATGGTTTCTGCTGACATTTTATATGAATCTTATTGGTTCTTCTTTGTAACTTTTAGTTTGTCTGATCTGATATCAGTATTCTTTCCTTACCTGTGTCTTTGTAAAGTTTGATTTTGAAGTGTCTTTCTTTTGGGATTATTGTTTTGACTTTTTCAGCTTTCGAATGAATATATTCTAATTACTCATCATATAATTCATCTTTTTTCTCCAATAACTCTTTCACAGTTTTCTCTGTGTTTTTTTTTTGTCTGTATGTTCTAGTATTTCATTCAGAGCTGATTTATGGTTCTTGATGATGACCTATATAATGCTTAGGCTTTCTTCATTTGTTTCCTTGTTTTTATTTTTCTTCAGTTCCCTAGGTATAGTGATATTGATAGATTTGTTTTCAAGTGAACTAATTTTGACTTCCACTGATTCAATTATACACATTTCCCTTCTTAATATATTATCTATTTTTAGAATCTGCTAATCTTCTTGATCGCTGCAGTTTTTGTATGCTTTCCAATTTTTCATTTGTATCGTTAGTTTGCTTTTTCAGTATTTCACTGAATTTTTCTAAAGTTTTCTGCACACTTTCCTTGATTTTATCTGCAGGTTTTTTCAATATTTCTCTTATACTGTTGTAAGTTCTTAAGCAATATTTTAAAGTTTTTATCAGGTAGTTCCAGTGCCATTCCGTCCTCAGAAAAGTTTTCTGCTCTGTGTTTTGCTCTGTTGTTTGTTTCAGTCTCTCTTGTTCTTCATGTGACCGGAAATAGCCTGTTATCTCTGAGACATTGTAGTGATATTTAATTGATGATTACATATTGGTGTATTTTTAGGTGACATGTCTTCTGGTTATTGTAATAGGAAATGTGAGTGTGTGTGCACTATTTATTTTGTTTGTGCAATGCAATTTAGAGTATATTTGACTGGTGTTGGCTGCTGTCTATTTTTTTTAAAATTTAGTTCATAAAGGAGCAAGTAACTCTCACTCATTAAGTGGGGTTGCCAGAGTTATGAGTGTGTCTGAGTTGTGATATAGTTAGAGTTACTGTCTCCTGATAGTGAGACAAGCTAGCAAAACAAAATAAAAAACAACACACAAAGAAAATAATAAAGAAAATAAAACAAGTGGGCGAAAGCAGGCCAACTATGGCAAGATAAAAGAATTCATCAAATAAAAGGAAATAATAATACCAGTAAGACTAAAGGAAAGAAGAAAGTACAGTAAATGATGCTAGGTGAGGTGTAATGGAACAGGAAAAGAAAAAACTACTAGAAAATAAGAGAAAGAAAAAGAGGAGGTAGATCAGAGTTTACCGAAGTGGGTGAGATTGTCCCTCCCAGAGGGCACTGAAATTATCCAAGGGTACTGAAAAAGCAGATAATTGCACTTTATGCCAGATTATAGGCTTCAGGACAAAAGTGTTCACTGGCCAGGGAGAGGCTGAGTAATATTTTTTCAGAGAGGGGCAGCAGGCCAAATAAGTTTGGGAAGCTGTATGATGGAAGAAAAGAGATGATAATATGGGGGCGGGGGGGGGTGTAGCAGAGAAAGAAAGCATTAAAAGGAATGCAAGGGAGAAGAAAACCAAGGAGAAAAATGACCCGGAAAGGTGAAAACTGTGGGAAGCCAAACACCCAATACTGGTCAGTGCCTGTGCCAGCCTGTGTGCTCATGGACTGTGGGGAGGGGTTATGTGTGGCTGGCTTCGATTCTGTCTGGGATCAAGGCATATGATCCAAAAGTAGTTCCCAGAAAGAACTATTTGGGGCCCAGAGGCAGTTGGGGTCAGGGTGACTGGTTATAAATGGAGTTCTTGCTCTCCCTATTGTGGGCAGACACAGGTCTCTCAACTGCTGATCTCTTGAGACAGAGTTCAAGTGCTTCCAGATGCTGGGGTGGTGCATCTAGAATTCAATCCACAAGGGCTTGGCTCTTGTGGCAGGTAGAGCAGGGGCTGTGCCGGCTTCAGGGTGTCAGTGGCTGCTAAGTGGATGAAGTTGGGGCCTGTTCATATGTCTGGTCATCAGAAGGTTGTGGGAGACAAAGAGGAGGATATCAACTTTATTCTCCAGCCACCTATCATACCCTTGTCCCTATTGGATTATGCTTGAAAAGTTCAAAAGAGTCACACTATGTCAGGCCCACTGACAATGCACCTGTTCTTTCTGTGCCCTTTTCCACTTTTCTGCTCATCTTCTTCTCCCCGTTCCTCTTTAACCCACTTCCTTATCTATGGGATCCAAACTGCAATTGAAGGGACCTAGGAATGATGAATAATTAAAGAAGACAAAGAGAAAAGTGGGCACAGGGGACCCAACTCCAGTCTCAGGAAAAGAGTTCTGAGTTTATTCAACAATGGGCTTTTATACCTCTTGAGGCACGTAAGCCTCTCATAAATCGTTTACCCCCACCAAAGGACAATGTACTAATATTGGTATTCCAAGCATTGAAAGGGAATTCAAAGCATAACAGTAAATGTTCTTTAAGTGTCTGTTGGAAAACAACTTAATCAAAGCATTTATGGGGAACAGATTGCTGTGGATAAACATGCTTCATGGGCCACGGAGGCATGCCTCTCCTCTAGGGCTGGTGTGCTGGGAGTAGACCATGTACACCTTCGTCCAGGTCCTTAGTTTCCTGCACTAATGCTTTCTTCAGAAGGACCGAGTTTTACAATTACCATTCATGTTTATTTCATTTGGTCTTTCATTCCTTTGTTATAGAATTTCTGGTTAGCATGTCTACCTTGTTTGTCATCTTGCCAGAAGTCTGAAGTCATATTTTGGAATTCAAAGTTAATATAATAAGTTAAATTAAATGCTTTTCCACTCATAATTCCAGCACTGTCAAACATAGACTCTTTCTGTTCTTTTTCAACTTATGTATACACAGGTGGGTAATCATATTTATATAAACATGGTTGAAGTCAGTAATGTGAAAAAAGGATTCTCTTTAACACTACATTAGAATCATTTAAATTATTCAAATAATATATAATAGCTTAATGTTTTCACTTAACTCTCTTTGGTTACCTACAGATTTAAAACTGGTTAAACTCTAAATTTTATTAGCAATATTTTAGCTGATCACATTGCTTATCAATATGCATGGCATAAAGTTTATCACTACTTTTTCTATATAATCAGGAAGTGCCATAATTTCTTCTTTTGCTGTTTTGGCATAGTGGGTGGTAGCTTGGCGTGTGGATTCTGGTGCTAAAATGATGTCTCCAAGAATATGCAAGACTATGGACAGGGACTATGCAAGAATTCCATTTATGAACATACAAAAAAGGAAGGGTTGGGCACTGAGTTCAACATTAATGAATGGATGATTCTTATTGTTGATTTCTTTTCTCTTTTTATTTTCATACTTGAGGATGACAATGGTTCTGAAGACATTTGCTACACCATCGTTAATCATGCTCACTATAGAAGATCCTCCAGGAACTCCAATGATGATGCTTATGAAAACATTGATTCCCACACGAAGAGAGTGAAACAATTTAGAGATGGGTCAGAAACAGAATATGCCCTTCTCAGGACAACTGTAGCTGCTAGACCTTCTTGCACCCATGAACCTGATTATGAACTTGTTCTGCCTTATTAGAAACCTTATCATTTTCCAGGTCATACAAAATGAGGGACTCTAGGGGAGCCTTTGTCTCTAAGCAGTTCCTCTAATATATATTTCCAGTGAGAAGTGAGAAATTATATAATTTTACAGTATACACTTGGGAAACTCAACCATGACTTCTTTGTCATATAGGCCAAACTATATAAACTATATAAATTATCTCTATGACATAGAATATTGTATGTACTTTTTGATTATGATTTGATGTCATAAAAAACCTTCCTAGGACAAGAAGCATCTACAGATACTTCAAGGGGTTTCAAAAGACTCATGGAAAATGTCATGATATGTTCACTCCATTTTTTTTTTTGCCACAAACTTTATGAAGTCCCCTTATATGTTTCCAGACCTTCTATTCCCATTTCTGCCCTCTCGATTTCCAAAATATCATCTTTATTCCTATTTATCCTTTTAAGGAGGCATAATCCACTCAAATCAGGATCCCTTGTGGCTTAGTGGTTATAACTTGGGCTGCTAATTGCAAAGTCAGCAATTTAAAACTGACAACAATTTGAAGCTGCCCTGCAGAAGGCAGGGCTTTCTACTCCCATAAGAGTTAGTCTCAGACACCCACAGGGGCAGTTTTACCCGGTCTTATAGAGTTATTATGAATCCACATCAACTGGTAGATGGCAGTGAACATTTTTTGGAGTCCATGCAAAGATTTTCTTTCTCATTCAGTTTATAATTTCTGGGATAAGGTTTCTTTTAATCAGCATCTTGTTTTTGAAATTCATCTGTTTGATGTTGTATCAGTATTTATACCTTTATTTTTTGAATAGCATACTTTTGTATAGCTTTATAAGAAGTGTTTATCTAATTCCTCAGTAATGGGCAGGTGGGGTATTTACTTTTTGATATTATAAATAAAACTGCTCTGAATATTCTTGTATAACCTGTGTTATTTTGCTGTTGTGCTAGATGTCACCTACTGGTTCTTATGGATAGGAACACGATATACAAGATAAAATATTGTCCAATCTGGCTATCAAGACCTATAGCGTCTGGGGACTTAAAGGCTTGAAAGTAAACAAGTGGCCATCTAGCCCAGAAGCAACAAAGCCCACATGGAAGCAGCACACCAACATGTGTGATCATGAAGGGCCAAAGGGACCAGGCTACAAGCACCAAAGTCAGGGGAAGAAAAAAAATCATATCATCGTGAATGAGGGTGGTGCATGATGGGGACCCAATGCCCATCTGTAGACAACTGGACATACCTTGCAGAGGGGTAGTGGGGATGGAGATGAGTCACTTAGGGTTCAGTATAGCAATAATGAAGCCCACAATCTTCCTCTAGTTCTTAAACGCTTCCTTCCCACAACTACCATAACCCCAATTCTACCTTGCAAACCTGGTTAGACCAGAGGATGCACAGCGGTACAGATGGGAACTGGAAACACGGGGAATCTAGGACAGATGAACCCCGCAGGACCAGCAGTGACAGTGGCGATACCAGGAGGGAAGGGGGTGGTGTAAAGGGGGAATCGATCAAAAGGATGTACATATAACCTCCTCTCTGGGGGGTGGGCAACAGAAGGGTGGGTGAAGGGAGACGCCGGGCAGTGTAAGATAAGATATAATAATAATTTATAAATTATTATGGGTTCATGAGGGAGGGAGGAGTGGAGGGAGGGGGAGGGGGAAAAAGGAAAATGAGCTAATTCCAGGAACCCAAGAGGAAAGCGAATTTTGAGAGTGATGAGGTCAACAAATGTGTAAGTGTGCTTTACACAATTGATGTGTGTATTGTGATGAATTGTATGAGCCCCAATAAAATGATTATAAAAATATTGTCCAATCCCTCACCGTACCACAAGCTTTGCTGTGTGAGAGCCCATTGTTTCAGCCACTGTCAGTCCATCTCTGATTTTTTTCCTCTTATTTTCTGACCCTCTACTTTACCAGGCACAATGTCCTTCTTCAGGGATTTGTGCCTGTCTTCCAACATTATAACATGTCCTCCTTATAACATGTCAAAAGTGACAAATTACTTGCTTCGAAGGAGTATTTTGGGTATATGTTCCTCATTTCTGACTGTTCATCGGGCAGCCCATGTTATATTCTTCATCAACACTGTGTCAAATTGAATCACTTCTCCATAAGTCTATTTAATTTACTGTCCTGTGTTGTAGAAATATAAACCTAACTTATATGAAAGTGACAAACTATGCTCCCAAGTGGGTGTGCCTTTTTATAAGCCTTCCATCAATGTGAAACATTGAGTTGTTCCACATCTTCATCAACAGCGTCATCACTAAACTTCTCACTGTCATTGACTTGACTCAGACTCACAGCAAACTTATAGGACGGAATAGAACTGCCCCTGTGAGTTTTTAAAACTGTAAATCTTTATGGAATAGAAAGCCTCATTTTTCTCTCTTGAAGCAGCTAGTGGTTTTGAACGACTGACCTTTTGGTTAGCAGTCCAGTACATAACCCACTAGACCATTAGCGGTCCTTCACTAAGCTTAGTTATTTAACAAAAGTAACAACAGGTGTGTAATGGTAAAGTGTCGTTATCATTTTAATTTCAATGTACATGAATATTAGGCATATGTTGTTGGTGTTAGGTGCCATCCAATTGATTCCAACTTAGTGACCTATGTGTGACAGAATGAAACACTGATAAATCCTGCACCGTTCTGACAATTGTTCTTATGCTTAAGCCCATTGTTGCACTCAATGTGATTCATCTTGTGAAAGGTCTTCCTTTTTTAAGTCACTTTCTACGTTACCAAGCATGATGTCTTTCTCCAATAACTGGTCTTTCCTAATCACATGTCCAGAGTCCATGAGACAAATTCATCCCATTCTCACTTCTAAGGAACATTCTGGCTTCACTTCTTCCAAGGCAGATGTGTTTGTTCCTCTGGAAATTCATAGTAATTTCAATATTCTTCACCAGTGCCATAATTCAAATGCATAAATTCTTCTGTGGTCTTCCTTATTCATTGTTCAATTTTCACATGCGTAATAGGTAAATGAAAAACCACGGCTTGAGTCAGGCACATCTAAGTCTTCAAAGTGATATCCTTGTTCTTCATCACTTTGAAAGAGTTTTTATGGATTTGTCTGATGCACTATATCACTTGATTTTTGAGTACTGCTTTCACGAGCATTGGTTATTATCCCAAGCAAGATGAAGACTTTGACATCTTTAATCTTTTCTCAGTTTATCATGATATTACCTATTGTTTTTCATTTACATTGAGTTGTAATCCATGCTGTAGATTCTAATCCTTGATCTTCATAGGCAAGTGAACTATCAGCAAGCACGGTTGTGTTACCTGCATATGGGAAGTAATTAAGAAACTCCCCCCCAATTCTAATGGCATATTATTTTTCAAAGAGTACAGATTAAATAAGTATGGTGAAACAATACAACCCTGATGCACACCTTGCTTGATTTTTAACCACGTGGCATTTCTTTGTCCTAGTCAAATGACTGCCTCTTAGTCTAGGTACAGATTCCAAGGGAGCACGAAGAAATATTCTGGAATTATCATTCTTTTTAATTTTACCCATCATTTTTTTTAATCCACACAGTCAAATATCATTGCATTGTCAATAAAACAAAAGACAATACATTTCTTGCTTTCTTTACTTTCATCCAAGATCCAACTGATGTCAACAATGACAACCTTCTGAACCTGGCTTGAATTTCTGGCAGTTCCATGTTAATATGCTTCTTCGATAGCTTTTAAATTATATTAAGCAAAATTTTACTTGTGCATGCTACTTATGATATTATGCAATATTTCCCCCCATTTTACCTTGTGCTACCTTTGTTTGGAATGGGTACAACATGGATTTCTTCCAGTTGCTGGACAGGTAGCTATCTTCCACACAAGCGACTGTTTTCAGTGCAGGAGCAGTTTTGAAAATAATTCAATCAGTATTTTATCAATTGCTTGAGCCTTGTTTTTTATTAATACCTTCATTGTAATTTGGACTTCTTTCTGCAGTGCCATTGGTTCTTGATCACGTGCTACTTCTCAAAATGGTTGAATATTGACTAGATCTGTTTGGTGCCGTGATTCTGTGCATTTATTCTATTTTCTTTTAATGCTTTCTATATCATTCAATATTTTGCTCATAGAATGCTCCAATATTGCAACTCAAGGCTTGATTTATTTCTCTTCAGTTCTTTCAACTATAGAGATGCTGAGTATTTTCTTTCTAACTCTAATCTTTGCACATTTTATCATAAAATTTTCCTGTGCCATATTAAGCTACTTTTTGAAAATTTCTGATCAATTATTTTACTTCATCATTTTCCCCATTCACTGTATCTACTTTATGTTCAAGTACAAGTTTCAGAGTTTTTTGTCACATCTACATTGCTCCTTTCTTTCCATAATCCTAAGAAACTATTAATACAGTTACGGTCTTTACAGATTTACTTATCCTGGATTTTATATAAAGAAAAACAAAAGTCAACAGTAACAAAATTAAACAGAGAAAAACTTCAATTTAAAGGAAATCAGAAAATAAAAACTAGAGCAAACTAAAAACAGGCCAATGTGCATTAATCCACTTTCCAATGCACTCAGTCTGCAAGCTGAGATATTAATATCTCTGGTCAATGGTCAGAGGGAATTTGCTAGAAGCTTAATCCAAGACCAGATCCTGCTATTGAATTTTGGGCTATCACTGTGGTCCATAGCTTTCTGCAAACTGGGTGCTCAGAATTTAAGCTCTAACATCATTACCTCCTCTGGTCTTGAATTTTATTACTTACAATCCTTGGATCACACAGGCTGGTGTGCTTTATTCATGTGGAATAGCTGTCATGTCACTTGGATGGTTCCTTATTATAAGATGAAGGTTTACTTTCTGATAGCCAGGCACCATCTGATTTCTTCACCACTCTTAGCAATAGCCTGCATATCTTCAGTGATCTCTTCATGAGAGCAAGTATGGAGTAGGTCATGTCATATGAACGAGTTGTTAATGGATTAGGGCTATAATTAAGTGTGAATTAAAAATCCATACTTATATCTAGACATTATTATTATTTTTTGAGGAACATCATAAATCACATGGATTATCTACATCTATTGCTCCTATTGTTATCTATGTTGAGTCAGTTCTGACATATAGCAACCGTATAATGCTATAATTAATTTAGCTAGTGATATAGAATTAAAAATATTGTTAACAAAAGGAAAGTATACATATAAGAACCGTTTTTTAAAGATTAAAATACATGGCTTTCTGACTAGTAGAAATTTAAAACTTAAGTGATTGGACACTATGTAAACAATGATGGTTGGAGATAGGGAAAACTTTTAATAATGCTCATTTACAAGGGCAGAACTATGTCTGCTAGACGAAGACATGCTATAAATAGCAAAGATAGTATGAAAATTAAAAAAAATTCTGGTACTCTGGAGTTACCAGTAATCGGACATCCTCCAAGCAAGAGATTGTAATCAAAGTCGAATGACTTCCAAATCCATAATTCCGGGAGAGGATCTTCGGCTTTTTCTCACACCATGGCATTTCAGTCATAAGTTCAAGGGAGTATTTAAATTCCTTTAATCTGCTACAGGTATGCTTAAGATAAAGTAAAATTTGTTTAGTGAGGTTTCAAAATCAGATATTTCTGGTCTGGCTTATAAAATATTTTGTGCACCATGAAAGAAGAAATGTCACAGTGGTCTATA